GACAAGGTGTGCTTGCAAATAAGTAAAGCAAGTGACGCGTTTGGAAAACGAGAAACAGTTTTGGAGGTGTCACAAGATCTCTTTAGAGACAAAGATAAGTATTTTATGCATGTGTGCTATCTGCTATTCTGTATACCTGTGAAACTTACACAGAAAGCACATACAGCATCTTCCACTAACAATGCCTCTGGAGAATCCTCAGTGTTTGTTGGCAAATGTGTGTTAGTGACTCTAAGGTATTACAACAAGCCCAGTGTCAAAGCATGGTATTGATCATTTTTCAGGCATTTACTCAAAATGGAGAACGAACGGCTGCCCAAGCAACTCTTGTATGGCAGTTGTATGGAAATTGTTGGAGGTAAGCGGCCGACTCAGAAACTGAAAACCAGGTACAAGGATTGTTTGTAAACATCTTTAAAGATGTGTGTTATTGATGTTCTGGGAAAGGCATTGGATCAGAGAAAGTGGAGGAGAGAGGTTCATGCAGGAAAGAATTTGTTGGAGAAAGAATATGTTGAACATGAAAAGCTGAAAAGAGATGTCCGAAAGGGGTCCATAAATGAAGCGAAAGACAAAATAGGTAATCAGGTTGGTTTCATATGTATTTTATGTGACTGTCTGCTTGATCTTAGTTGGTCTGAAAATTCATGAGAATGCATCAATGACACCTGAGAGCAGATTGCATGTTATTTCATAATACAACATGTAATGCGTGTTGAAAAAGTGTGCAGCAGGATTTAAAAAAGACATGTTAAAATGCATGGCGGGGATGATGCAGAAACTGTTGTTGAAGATGTCCATGTCAGCCACTGCTGAGCCACAGAATGTATGCCTTTAGCAGGACTTAAAGGCTACTTGAAAGAAATGGCAATGCTCAAATAAGCATTTATATATATATATATATATATATATATATATATATATATATATATATATATATATATATATATATATATTATATAATCTGGTGTTCTTATAGATATTTTATTTTTACAAAATATGTCATTATTTTCTTAGGGGTACAAAATTTTATTATGGAAATAAAAATGTCAAGATGAGCTTTACCATTCATGATTAAGAAAAAAAAGAAATTGATCGACTGGTTTTGCCTTCACCCAACAGAGTTGAAATTGAGGGAAGGCGAAATATTACAATATAAAATATAAAACATGAGAAGTATGTGATGAAATAAAGGTAGAAAGATCAGATGGAAATAATGTCAAGCCCTAACAGACATTCCTTCTGTTTACACAGGGAGGGCTACCTGGACCTGACAGATCATTTCCAATACCTTTAAATGTAACACAGAATGAGCATGACTAAGGATGGAAAATGAGTAAATGCTGAAATTGGTGGCACAACTTGGATGGTTTATAAGGTGCTCAGCATCAGTGGAGCTGTATGTGTTCCTGATCTTGTCACCAGATTGTAACGTGCCATTCCTAATTTTTCTGGGTACTTGCTGATTTATCCATACATAATAGCAAGGTAGTTCTACCTACTTAGCCGGCTCTGCAACTACATCCAATTACATCCAAATCAGTATATCACATCTTACTTATTATAAAACGCAGATTGTGTGTGTGTGTGTCTGTAACGTTTATATATTGGATCGGATTTCCTACGTTTTTCAACCGATTTCAACAAAACTTCACAGGACTACATAAAATTACCTTGTGGTGGTTCTAACAGCACCAAAAATGGGAAAAATATAATTGTTTTTGCACAAAATCAATTTGAAAACACAATTAAGAGACATCGTGAACATGGAAGGGGGACAACTCACATCAGTTTGTTTGTGTGTGGGTTACTTTAAATATGGGAGCGGATTTCCTATATTTTTCAGCCGATAAAACAAAACATCACTTTTTTTTTCTTTTTTTTTTGGCAGGTAGTGTTTCTTATTCTCTTGCACACTTTTCTTTATTTTTAACATTCAGAATGCTTTAAAAATTCCATTTACAAGACAATTATTTATAATAAAATTCTATTCAATCAGTAGACTCATAACGATTGAAAACAATGTTTTTGTTTGGGTTTGACCAATTCGTAAAAAATAAAAAAAATAAAAAAATAATTAAGACATGCGTGTCCGTCAACCTTAAACAATAATCTTTGTCAATTTTATTTTTCAGTCTTTATGATGGTGGATACTTGATCTATCTCTTACTGTTATATCCCCGGGCAATGCCGGGCTCTACTGCTAGTTATTAATATGGTGGGGAGGCAGAACATCCTTTTGAAACCTGGTAGAGAAAATGGCACAGACACTGGCAGAAAAATAGCAATTTTTAACTGTTGAGCTGATTTGTTTGGCAAAATTTACCACTTATTGAACCCAGTCACAGCAAACGCAAATAAACAGGTCATTTAGAAACCATAGTCGGTCTGTTTAGAAAGATTTGAAATTTTCTTATTCATGACTGACTTAATAAGATCCAAAGGTTACCCATCATTAGCTCGAGCTTTGGCAATTGTTTTCAGCTCTTCATCTAATTTAGATTCTAAGCAGATATCAAAGCTCTAAATGTAAGGGTACTAATTAAATTTTCTTTGCATTAGTTAGGGCAGAATGCAGCCCATCAAAAGTATAGTCCGGTAAATGTTGGTTTACAATAGATTGATGTAATGTAACAGGATGGTGTTTTATTTAACAAAACACCCAAAAAATATATATATGTGTGTGTGTATTATATATAAGTGAACATTTGAAGTCAACACTTAACAGCAGCAGGCTGTTCCATGCTAGATGCAATTGTCAGGCCTGACAATTGCGTCTAGCATGAAACAGCCTGCTGCCTCTAAGTGTTGACTTCAATGTTCACTTTTATATTTGCACACGCTCTCTGATATTGAGCACTTTATCCCACAAATATAGCACACCTTAAGAGTATATTGATTCACACACACACATATATATATATATATATATATATATATATATATATATACGTGTGTGTATATTTATGTATGTGATTATTTACTTATAAATATTTTCTTTTCTACAGGTTAACCGTTAACTCTGAGAAATTTTCATATGTATATGTGTATGTACACACAATGTTTATGTGTGTGTGTGTGTGTTTTGCTGGAATTTTTACCTGAAACTTCCTCAGTCACATATTCATATTCTTCTTCAAGGTGTCACACGAAGATGTATCATTGATTTCAGTAAGTCGTTGTTTTAGTAATTCCTGCATTTCCAGGGAATGCAGTTTCATGACATTAGGATGTGCCGGAGGCTTTCCATTGTCTTGTCTAGTTGCTGTTTGAGAACAAAGTTCATCTTGGCCATCACTCGACTTCTGCTTTTTAACTAATCACAAAAATACTCTTTAATTTCTCGAGTTTTCATAAAATTAGTTATGGTTAGTTATAATAATAAACATTTAAAACTCAATTAGTGGGTAGTTTCTGCTAGTTTCATTAAAATTCGACTTTTTTCTTCTTCTTTTGAATTATGTCTATCGCAGCAAAAAAAAAAAAAAAATTTTTTAAATTGTGCTTTGCCGTTATTTAGTAGTCCCCTCAAGCACAAAGGAACAATTTTTCTTAATCAAAAGAATGTTCTATAGATGGAAAAATTTAATAAAATAATCAAAAAAATACTTTTCTCTCTCTCAATGACAAATATTTTGATTATAAAACTTTACTTTGTTCAAACCATTTCATTTGCAGTGTTGGGTGAGAATACTACTATGGTTGACTTATGACCTTTGACTTCGTGGGCTACCTGTCGAAAATAACCAATTTTCGCTGTTTTACGCCTGAGAACTTTTATAAAATCCAGTTAATCCTTAAATTTAAATCTCTAGGGAAAATATTGAACTTTTTAAAGAGATTTTTCAATTATGGATGTTCGAGCATAAAAGACCAGGTTATGGTATTATCTTTTAAAATATAAGTATTAACTTCAAACATGACTTTTTTTCTTTTTTTTTAAAAAAAAAAAAGAAAAAAAAAGAACAGGTAACTCACAACGTAAAAAAAAGCACGTAAAACTCAAACAACGTACACTCTCAAATGACTTATTTTCCAAAATTTATTTCTAACCTTCGTTAGCAGCAGCTGTCAATAGGTAACATGATTTTTCAATGCTAACAGCTTTTATTGTTTTACATAGCACGATTTTATTTTTAAACATATCATTCCATTAAAATATCAATATTTGTAAAATTGGGAACTCTACTCATTTTAGCGGCCATTCAAAAGGAAATGTTTTGCATTGTAATAAAAATGTAAACAACATGCAATTACGTTTTTGTTTTCGTTTTTCTATTAAAAATTATTGGTCATGGTTTGGGTTTGTTTCCCCCATCTCTCTAATTAGGTAGGATTTTAGTTAATTTTTCGGTTGACTTAGATTCTTGTCAAATATCTTACAAAAATTAAACTTTCTTATACTCTTTTACAAGGGGTTGGAGTTTAAATGAATGTAAATTTTACATTCATACAATTCCCACCCTCCTTTCTTTTTTTTTCTTTTTAACCTCGTTTTCATTTGATCCAAATACTGATTGGCCAAAGGTGGTGTATAAAAAATGTGGAATCTGAAAAATATTTCGACATCTCGCTCGGAAACAATAAATTTTACTAATTTATATGCACTTCCACGCACTCAAATGTACAGTAGATTTTTTCCTTCGTAAAGTTTTATTGTGAATTAAAAACGTAAAATGAAAAATATTGTGACTTGTATTTAATTTACTATTATTTCACCTTGGAGAGGCAAGGGGGTAACGTTATGCTAGCTAGGAGTTATAGCTGACCCGGAAGTTAATATTTTGTCAGTTTCATTGGGTACAACTTCATCGAAGAAGAAGACATATTGAATTTGTATTTTTTTGCATTCCAATTTCCAAATTATCGATAAATCTGCAATATATTTTCCAAATGGATGAAAAGCTAGTTTGTCAAACTTTCAAGTCCATTTATTTACCCGATCAAAAAATAGATTAAATTTTTATTTTTCACTTCAATTCAAACGGGGCGATGTCACAATGTGTACAGTGAGTAGAATTCGGAACAAAGATTATTTCAATTTACTGTTTTGTTTTGAAAACAATTGTCACATTTTGTCAGAATTATTACTTAATTATTTCTCCTTTATACCATATCTTTTAAAACACTTGAATATCTAGATCTTTGCGTTTTCTTAAATTACTTTACGAGTACTGTTCTATTCAAGAAAGAAAATTTTATTTTGAGTTATCAGTTTGCGACAGCTATTAAGGGAGATGTGATTAAATATACTTTAATGTTTAAAAAATATTTAGTATTATTATTGTTTAGGTAATAAGCATTATAACAGCACAAATGTAGCTATATTGTGGAAAAAGGAATCTTCGGCAACGTACGCATTTTTTTACGTATCTAATGTTATTAAGTTTTATCAAAAACGACATTCTTGTACATATGGACAATAATATTATACATTAATTTCTAATTTTTTTAATTACTATTTGTGCTCAGTTGTTGACATTAGCTATCTGCTGATGTGTTAAAATTTTGGAATAATGCAATAATAAACATTTAAATTTCATTTCGCGATCTAAATACTTATTGTATTTTCATGTTACATTACTCAGACTATTTTTTTTTCAACTAATTTTTACATTGTATCGTGTTGAACAATTTTCGTATATATTCCCCCCACGAATTTTGAGTTATTTCAGTTATTTAATTTATATTTCATCTCTATCGTTTAATATTTTAATATTCAGCGAGCCAAAGAAAGAAAACATTACACAGATGAAGACATTGATGATGACGAAATTGAGGGGAAAAGGAATTACAGCCTTGATGAAAAGTTACACAGTATCCAGTTCGAGGGGGATTTCGTGATGCATATGAAAGGAGATGGTATGTGATTGCTTCAAACTATGTTTTTGTCGTTAAATTGGATTTTTTTTTTATTATACCTATGTTTGTATAAATATGCATATAATTTTAAATACTTCTGATTTAGAGTTGTTAGTCAACATTTTGCAAATATATAGCTTACACTTGGCTATTTCCGCAATACTGAAGAAACTCATTAACTTCATCTCACAACTTAATACTTATTAATTATTAAGTAATGAAAAAATACTTAATACTAAAATATTTTAAGTTATCAATAACTTAAATATTTCAAAAGTGAGTTTTCTTTTTAATTTGCAACAATAATTTCCTTTTTATTTTACTTAGAATTCAACATGAGATTCTTCCAAGAACATGGTCTTGATAGACCAATTGTCTTTTTTGAGAAAACTGGCCTTGGAATGAGGTAAGGCTCTTTTTGTTATGATGTTGCAAACTTCATTTTGACTTGACAAAATGTAAATTTTTTTTGTGACATATATAATGTTTACTTATCTGTTCTTGCTGTTTTGTGGAGATGATGAGGGGAACTTGATTGAAATTTTATAGGAATACCCTAGTAGACTGTTTATATATAACCACACTATACTGTAAAGCCGATATTATTTTATGACTTTTTTACCCTGTCTAATCTCAGGAGTTGGTATACATTCTAACAAATTAAATATTAGTATGTTTTTTGTTTTTCTTTTAAGCTTCCAGTTTGCTTTACAAATATCCCTCTTTATATTGTAGGGTTCCTAGCGAAAATTTCCAAGTCAGTGATGTTAAACAGTGTGTTGGTAAGTGAAAAACATTTCTTTCTTTTTTTTATTGTTGTTATTATAACCATTATACTTTATTTTAGGCACCTCTACTAAATTTTCAGTAATTAAGGTTTAAAATAAATTTTTAAAAATGAAAAAGCATTCTTGGAGCTTTCTTTTATCTTTAGTTAAAAGCTAAATGATTAAATTTACTAGTTCCAATAAGCAAAATACTCTATTTAAAATAGAAATTATATTGATGTAAATCTCAGCTTTTTGGTTGCTTTAAGAAAATGAAATAGTGGCCATTTAGACAGATTTGTAAACAATAGTTAGTTCTTGGTTTTAAAAATCTTCCGAAAATAAAATATATTTATGTTATTTGAGGAAAATTAGCCAATTTAAAGTTAAATTACTGATTTTAAACAAATGTTACTTATGTACATTATAAAATATAGTATACAAGCATTTCTTAAACATTGCTTTTCTGACGTGTTACTCAATTGATTGGTAGTCTAAGGTGTTGAAAAGCTAAGCATGGTTGACTATAAATTGACTCAAAAAAATCTAAATGAACACTTTTTGTTTTTTAACTACATAGTAATTTTTTAAAATTAACATTTTATCTAATATTTTATTGAATTTTAGTTATTTATATATTTATCAAAATAACCCTCACAAAAAAAACTTCTAAGTAAAAAAACAAAAAAACATCTTTATGAATTCGGAGTTAAAGTAAAAAGAATTTGAAAGGAAATTTCAAAATTATGCTCAAATTAAAAATAACTTCAATTAGAAATTAAATAAGAAAAAATTAATTTAACTAAAAATTATTTTTTAGTAAAATTATTTGGTTTTGTCTCCAGGTTATTTGAGGTATAGCCAAACTAAAATAAATACATAGAATAAATGAATTGAAAAAAAAAAATTATTTTAAAGTCTAAAATTTTGAAGGGATGATTTGCAAAGGCTAATAAAATTAAATTTTTCATTAAATAAAAATATTTTCATGTATAAAATATCCTAAATAATTTTTTTTTTTTTTTTTTTTTCCCCACCCTCAAGGGAGTCGTCGTCCTTTAGATGTAATGGATGCCAACACTCAACGTGGCCTAGAGATGACTATGAAAGAATGGGTAAAATATTATGAAAATACTGAGAGAGAAAAATTGCTAAATGTTATTAGCTTAGAGTTTAGCCACACAAAGCTGGAAAATTATGTGGAATCTCCAACTGTGGTAAGTTTTGAGTTTTTCTATTTGCTTTTTCTCATTTACCACTTTTACATCTAATATTTTTAGTTAAAACTCAAAGTATTTTTAATTTAAAAAAAATACAATCTTTTGTGTTCAGGTGCGTCAGACTGACTGGGTTGACACAGTGTGGCCAAGAATATACAAAAAATGTCAGACAGAATCAACCAATATTATTGAAAAAATGAAATATCCAAAAGTACAAAAGTAAGTATTCACATCTTTGTCTTTACCTTTGTAATATATTTTCATTTTTTTTTTTTTTTTTTTTTTTTATTCCTCTGCACCCATTTCTGTATGAAATTGTATAATTTATTTTTTAGGTATTGTTTGATGAGTGTGGCTGGCTGCTATACAGATTTCCATGTTGATTTTGGTGGTACCTCAGTATGGTATCATATTCTTCATGGGCAAAAGGTAAAACAAAACAAATTATTTCCTATTTGAAATACAAAACATGCATGAATGTCTTAAAAAAAAAATTTGTGTTTGGTATTAATGCATTTGCTTTCTATTGTAGGTTTTCTGGTTAATTCCACCCACTGAAGTAAATATTGAGTTGTATGTTAACTGGGTGTTATCTGGGAAACAGGGCGATATATTTCTTGGGGATCAAGTGGAAAGTTGTCAAAGAATTGTTCTTGAAGAAGGATACACTTTTGTTATTCCATCAGGTAATCTGAATCCAATTCTTTATGGGGATACATATTTTGGGATTTTTTAATATTTCATTAGTTCTATATTCCATATATCTAGATAGACTTTGAAATATTTTTTCCCTATTTTGTTATTATCAATTTTTGTTTCGATCTAGAACTTAATATTTTTTCTCTTTTGCAGTTATCTTTCTTACTATCCATAGCAGTCTATATATCTGAAATTTAAAAAAGAAAACACTCATAACTACAATATTATGAACACTCTTAAAGTTGGATGAAAAATCTTGAATTGCTATTGAAGTTATTACAAATATTTTAAAAACAGATAAACTGAAATTGCCATGGCATGTTAATTTTAATCAGTTGTATGCAAGAAAACAATTTGTGGTAATGTAAATTCATGGGATTGCTTGTAAGTAACTTATACAAAAAGGAATATTGTACTTTTTGGTGTCTCCATCTGCAAATTTCTACATTTTAAAGTAACACATGTAAAATAAGTTATTGTAATCCGAAGAAGGTTGGAGAGTGTAACAGCTGAAACATTGACAATAGTCTCAATATAAATAGTGTAATTAGTAATACTACTTGTTTACAGAATAACTCCTCCTATTTTTAAAAGTTTGAGAGGATCTCTCTAGTTTCTTTTTTCTACTAGTGTCTAAAAATGACTTGAACATAAATGATAAATGAAGTACAATACTCTTACTGACTTTGATTTCTTTTTAAGAAATATTCCGTATTAGTATTTAGCATGAATTTAGATTTTACCTGGTTTATTTTACTTAATTTTTTAAAAATTTCTTCCTAGGATGGATTCATGCAGTCTATACCCCAAAAGATTCTCTTGTATTTGGTGGAAATTTTCTTCACAGTTTCAACATTCAAGAACAATTAACTGTATGTGAAATAGAAGATAAAACTCACGTAAGTTTCTACATCTATAATCTCTTTATAGAAATGATTTTGTCCTTTTCATAATTTGTGCTTAAAGATTAATCTATTAAATGTAATTGTATTTTATGATCATTGTATAATATAGAACACTCTTTAAATGTTTACTTAAATATTTTTAATTTTATCATATATCCTTAAAAAATATTCTTATAAACATAAGCACTGTTCAAAATTTAAAAAAAAATCTTTCTTGATAGGTTCCTCAGAAATTTCGTTATCCTTTCTTCACTGAGATCTCATGGTATGTTCTTGATCGCTACCTAGCTTGTTTAACTGGCAAATCATTCTTGCAAAAATCGGCTATAGAGGCTGAAAAAGATGAAGACTCTGAACTTGATGATTCACGACCTCCTTCAAGAGATCCTGAAGATTATGCAGACAGGAATCAAAACCGTTTAGATGACAAAGACCCCAAATCATCTCAGCATAAGCTTTCAAAAAGCATTACTATTGAGTTGACTCGAATTGATGAGAAAAATCTGCCACGTGCAAACAGTGATGATGAAAATACTGCCATTAAAAGAACTGGTAGAAGAACTGATGGTAGTGAAAAAGGAAAAGAAATGAAGAGATCTCGGTCACCAGCCAGTGTTGATGACAAAAGTGAAACTGAAGAAACGCTTGGTGAGAAAGAGTCAAAAGAAGATCTTCTAAAAGATGGAATAATTGATGGGGTAAAATTTTTTCAAAAGAAAAACTTGCACCTGACCAAAATTGAACTAAAAGGCCTTGAGAAGTTGGTTCAGTGGTTGGAATCTCTTCCACCTACAAAGAAGAATGTGCCAAAAGATATATCCGAACCAGAGTCTCTTATCAAAGAGTTTAAGGTAAGTTTCCTTTTGATTTTTGTTTGTGTCTAGGAGCACTCATTAACAATCTATGGACAAATGTATGAATATAGCTTTGCAATAAGTTAATATCTTTTCTCTAAATTTGTCTTATATTTTAAGTTTCTTTTAAAATCTAAAGAATAGCTATGTATCTGTAGAACCCATTATAAATTACAGTTCCTTATTTTATATCTTAACTTAATTTAAAACATTTTTCATTACAGCAATTATTGGTTGATCATCAAAATGATGACCCAGTTTTGGCTATCACTGGAGAGCCAATCTTACAGTGGCCACCCTCTAAAGTGAGTCTTATGCTATTCATTTTTCTTTTTATGCTTAATTCTTTGATGGCTTTCCAAAAACCTAATTTTATTTATTCATTTATCATAATTGTCAAATTATTTACTTAATATTCAGCTACATTACTTCAAGAATATTTTAATTTTAAGTCTGAATTTTTTTTTTTTTTTTTTCCTCAAGAAACTGAAACCTAAATTAAAAATGGGCCATCTTGGTAAAGGAAAATTAAGTGGCAAGAATGCAGCTGCTCAAGCAGCATCCAACATCAGACGGCGCCGGACCAGGTGCAAGAAATGTGAGCCTTGCACTCGCCAAGAGTGTGCAGAGTGTCACTTTTGTAAAGACATGAAGAAATTTGGTGGTCCTGGTCGGATGAAGCAATCCTGCATTAGTCGACAGTGTATGGCTGTAAGTATCTTAATTTTTACATTTTTAAAAGTAAAATTTTTGTACTGAATTGGGAAATTTATTTTTACTAGTTAAGCTGAAATAAGTTTATTAAAATTTTAATTTTTACCTGAACTTGAATTACTAATTTATTTGCTTTTTTCTTTTTCAGCCTGTTCTCCCCTTATCAGCGTCTTGCATGCTATGTGGTAAAGAGGGCGCGTTTGATAGGGGGGATAACTCGGAAGAGTCTGTTAGCGCACTGATGGAATGTGGTATCTGTTGGGAAATTGTACATCCAAATTGTTTTAAGCAAAAGAATGAAAACATTGAAGGTGATGGTGTTGTTAATGAAGATCTTCCAAATAGTTGGGAGTGTCCAAAATGTTGCCAAGATGGAAAACGAGGACAAATTAAGGTAAAAAACAAATTTTGCTTTATGGAATCTATTATAATAATAAAATAATTGCTTCTTGTCAGTTATTTTAGTTTATTCTAATTTCTCAAACGTTTATTTTCTTTCTAGCCAAGAGTGATAAAAAGCCAACCAAAACCAAAAGCTATTGAAAGTAGACACTCTTCCACAAGCAGTGATGATTTTCCACCTGAAGCTCCAGTACCTGTGACTGTAAAGCAAGAACCACCACCGTTATTTGAAGGAAAGAGAGTTACTGCTAAAGAAAGCAATACAAACATTGTTCCCACTTCTAACAATTCAAACATGCCTAACTCAAAGGAAACTTCTGTTACATCAAAAACTGTTATTAAGGAGGAAACACCAATGCCTTCCATGCAAAAAAAAGTTGAACTTCTTGAGGAAAAAGAAATTCCTACCAAACGAAAGCTGGAACCAAAAGTGACACATGTAAAAGCCGAAGAAAAATCTGTTGCCCTGAAAAAGGTACTAGAAATGTTTTATGTAAATTTCTTTCTAATATATACCTTTTGAATAAACATGTCTGTCTTTTTTTATTCTAGAATTAGTGCATCTTGCATACTGTTAGATAAAATTATCAAATGCAGAAATATAAATTACTGTCTTTGTTAAATGGTTAAAATTTTCCTTTAAATTTTGTAAGATTAATCTTCCAAAAAATTTTAATGAATACATGGTAATTTGTTGTAATTTTATATTCTTTTCCTCCTCCATTTTTCTAAGATTATACTAACTTTATAATTCCAGCGCAAATTTGTTACTACTCTTCAGAAATGTGAATCCTCTCAGCTTGGTGGCTCATTTGTGACAAGATCTGTACGTAGAGTAAAGAGATCACAGTTGACTCTCCCAGATGTTGTGTCCACTGCTGCTCCTGCTTTGTCTTCCGCTACTGCCTCAACTGCCAGTGCAGCTGCTCCAATGAACAAGAGGCCCAAGCGTGAGGTAGTTACTCCCCGCAGATATCTTGACTAGGCACAAAATTGGATTTTGCTAACATGACAAACCTTATCAAATGGTTAAGAAAGAAGAAAGAATGCAAAAAAAAAAAATTTTTTTTTTCCAACATCAGAAAACTATATACTTTAAGTTGTTGGTGGTATTAAATGATTTTGAAATGGTTTTGCAATCTGGCTCTTCACACTCATCATTCAAATTCTCAAATTAATTTTTCTATTGCAAATTTGTTCTAAGTAAAAATTAATTTCTCAGCAACTACAAAAATAATGAGCACACTTGCTCAGTGAAATCAAGCAAAGTAGATTTGCTGAGATTTACAAGAACAAATTATTTGCTTTTTAACTGAAAAAAATATTTTTATATTCAAGAAATGGGTAAAAAAAACCTGTTTGATAATTGCATCAAACTACCACATTTGTATATTTTTTAAAACTTTGTAGATAAGTTTAGATTGAATCTAGTGTTATTGTTTTGCATTATTTATATTTGTCTTGCTTGATTTTTATATATTCACAATGCCTCGGAGCAAGGACAGTTTAAAGCCATGTTTCTGACAGGAAAGTAATATAACATAAAACCTATAAAAATTCTACTTAAAATTAGAGATAAGCAAAGAGTCTGAGAAAATGGTTTAATTCTAAAATTAAATTTGACAAGCTAATATTTCTTAAAATAAATCCTTAATACTTTAAAGGTTCAAAACAGTTTGAATCAAGATATCTTTGGCTGTGGTGACCAGATTGCTCTCACCATGTTCAAAAAAAAAAAAAAAAGAAAAAAGTGCTGCCACTTGCTCTAATTTCAGTAATCTGACAAGACAAATCTACCTCAGCTAACAATATTCAGTTTTTGTTTTTTTTTTTTACCTTTCTTTCTTTTTCCTATTTTGTGCTCTTAGTTTGCCTGCAGTGTTGTATGGTATATAAACATTGCTTGAATTTTTGTTGCAACTCTAGTTTTAAATAATCAAATCTAGAGATGGAATTTCTTAGAAATTAAGTAGTTGCTGTTTAAGTTCCTCTTGTTAAAAGGTTAAAATTATTTTGCATTATTTCATAGGAATTTTAAACATTCTAAAAACGGTTTAAGGACATGTATATTTTTTTCTTGCAGGCCATTGTCTAACTAAATTTGTTTTGTGCAAATTTAAATATTTAAATTTTTCTTTTTTCTTTTCTATTTTTGTTAAAATTTTGCCTGATGAATATAACTTTGTCTTGTTAATAAATTTAGAATGCTTATACTTAAAAAAAAACTATATTTAGAGCAGTGCATATTTCATACATTCAGACTGATGTGTATAGTATAATTTAAACTTTAACCCACCATCAGTTTAACATTTCTTAAAATCTCTAACACCACAGTTCAACTATTATTCAAATATTTGATTCTCTCATTTAGTACTGATATGAAACCCTCATTTAGAAACTGGCTTAAAATTGGTGGTGGATTTATATTGGCTTCTGTTTGTATTGTTGATAGATTTAAGTTCTTAACACAAATAGGTGCATGGATTGAAGATATAAAATAGTTTTCTTTATTGCACTTAAGTTTAGTTGGTTATTGTTTGTTTAGGAAATAGTCTATTTGTGCAAAAATTACATCAACGCAATCATATTTCATCAATTCATATATTTACTTCCTCAGTTATTTAATTTGAGTTTTTTTTTTTTTTTTTTTTTTTTTTTTTTTTTGTTATTGGTTTTCTTTTTTTTTTTTTTTTTCATTCTTGAAATTTGTTTTTGTGCATATTTGCTGAACCCCCTCCCCACATTTTTTTTTCTTTCCAGATAAGATTAAATATTTAATTCATATTTAGAATAAACTTTATGGCAATATTTATTTTTTTATAAGGTTAGTCTAAATGATTTCATCTTATGCTAAATGTGTTCTTTTGCTGTGATCTCAGTTAATGTAGTTGATTCTTTACTTTGGTAAGATCTCTTTAGCAAGTATGCAAAAAGGTTGTTTTGAATTAATTATATTGAATCATTTTCTTTTTATTTCTACTTTTTGAGAAATATTTGGCACTAATGAGTAGGCTACATTATTGGTGCTTTTTGATTTTTATCCTTTGGTTGAAAATTTGGTTTTTATTTTGACAATTTTCATTCTTCAATATTACTTGAACTGAAAATGTAATTTTCATTCAGAAGTTAATTACTATTCATAGTTTTGATATTAAAACTATTTTTTATCACTGCCATTTTTATATCTAAGAATAAGGTATCGGTTTGTTCCTGATGTGGCACTTGTGTAATAAAATTACACTTCCTTGTAAATTTATGAGGCTTGTAGAATTAAGGCTTTTTCTTATCTAAAGCATATATTTGCATTTTTAGTCAATTCATATAGATGGAAAAACAAAACTCAAAATGTAGTTTACTTTTTCTTTTTTTTTCTTTCCCAAATGCACTCACTTTATATAAAAAATATCAACATTACTTCCATCTTCATGAAAAGATTAATTTTCTAATTAAATTGACCTATCCATGTGTCCTTAAATATTTTCTATGATAAATACATACTAACAGTGCATTCATTGCTTCTAGATCTCCATAAATTATAAAATCATTTGAAAAATTGAACGGAATCTGAAAATTTAATAAAAACATAAAATGCTTTTCTTTTCTTTTTTTTAAATCTAAGCATTTAATTAAAAAAAAATCTACATCAAAATTAAAATATTTAACATTCAAAGAAAGAAATTGTGAAGTTTAATCTGTTATTCTCGAATTTGTTAAACTGAAGAGTCGGTTTCATACTTCATTTTATTTATTTCCTCCCTCTTACACTTTTTTATTATTATTCCCTAAAGTTGAATGTTAAATCTTCTGTAATAGATTTTTTTTTTTTTTTTTTTTTTTTTTTGATGAAGAGAATATTCTGTGTAAATTTCCTTTATTGGAATGGAGTTGGTCACAATTTGTGCATTTTTCCTTTAGAATCTTTTTATTCATCATTGTTAATTCCCATTATTTTGATATTACCCAAATGTTTGCATTCCATTTTCTCCAAATAGTTATGATTATAAAATTCCACTGTTTTTACCTTATCGTTTATTCTTGTTCTTTCTACATTCATCTACATAAAGTGCCTGACATTTCTGCCTCTTTGTCTATACTGCTACCATTTGAACCAAGGAAAGAAGTTAGTGTTTTTCTGCCAATTATTTTTTAGTTTTACCATCAGATAGTCATTCTATGGCAGGTCACTTTCTTTTTACCTTGTCTCTTGTACTAAACACCTAGATGTATCTGCTTTTAAGTGGTGTTTAATATCATGAACTGGTTGTATAAAGTACTCATGCTCATATAATTTTCTTTGTATTTTTGTCTTTCATATATTCTTCTTGAGTGAATATTTACTTGTTTCAACTCCTAATGTTTGCTTCATTTGCTGGCTAGTTGGAATATTATGCTTCATCATTACACAAATATTTAAGTGCCTAGGAGGCAAAAACCACATTTTTATTTATTTTTATTTTATTTTTTTTTTTATGTCTTTTATTTTAATTTTATATTTTTATTGTATTTTTTAATTATTCAATTCTATTAAGCTGTTATTAGATTTAGAACACCCTTAGTAAGGAAGTCTAAATCTCACTTAGTGTATGCTAAATTATTTTTATCTGGTTTCTTGTTACAAGGAACCATTCATTTTAAATCCTCATCAAAATATAACATTTCTGCATATTAAGTTTCATTTTGTCTTAAGTATATCTTGAGATTTATTCCTGTAATTTATTAAATAGCCCCCCCCTCCAATTTTTTATTTTATTTTTATTTTGTTCAATTTTGTTTGTTCAGCTTTCCAATATGTTGACTTTTCTGATAATTTCATATATGGATTTTTTTAAAATTTCAAGCTTGACATATTTTTACCAGTTTGCAAACAAGTGTCATGTGTAAGGTAGGTGATAATTGATAAATTTGTGTATTATGATCATTTTGGCTGATCAAGGTATACCTACTTAGCTGTTGGTATGGTTGTGTGTGTGTATGCACATGATGGATTGATTTGAAAGCAGGCTAATTGTTTCTTAGGTTTGTGTTTACCAAAATTACTAATATTAAATGCTATGTTAAATGGTTATTACAAAACTGTTTAATTTGCATGAATTTGTCCTGCTGAAGGTGTTTGTCCATGTGTCTAATAGCAGCACATAAGGCCTTGTCTACAGTTGAATTACTTTCCTCTACAGGTTTGTCTTTTCAAACATGTTTAAACAATTGTTTTTTTTTTTTTTTTTTTTTTTTGTTTTTTTCTTCATCCATTGTGCTCACTTCTCCCGACTATCATATTTTCATTTCAATTTAATTTTTAAGCAACTTCATATTACAAGCATTCATCCTTTCTCTAACTCATTTTTGTGTTTGTTGGTCCCTCCCCACCACCATTTTGTCAAATTGATAATGCATACTGTGCCACAGTCATACTATATCACCACCACCACTATCCCACCACCACCTTAATGATCATATTACATCATCTTATCGTCTACATGTGCCCAGCAAATATGACTGTGTGTGTGCGTGTGTGCGTGTGCGTGTGTGTGTGTGTTGGTCACATCTGCATGCTAACCTCTACTCCTCCTCCATCACAACCTCCCTGTTCACACCATAGTCTGATAGTGGAAGTACTGTGGTGTGATCTCACATATTTTGGCTTCACCAACAACAGATTAATCAGTTCAGTGCAAAATTGTAGCAAACATTTTTGTAATAAAATTCTTCATGTCTATTTCTCTTCTGAACAGACTTTTGTTTTATTCAGTGCAGTCTAAGATAGTGCATCTCTAAGTATAACTAGCATAAAATATTTAATTTTGAGTTTGTCTATCAATACCAAAAATATTAAAGCTGATATGTTTATATTTTTAGCCACAAATGTTTATTGCAGTAAATTCACTTTTGCTTCATTGATAATTTTGTCTAATGGCTTTCTTGAATATTTGTATCTGTTTTCATAGATATATCAAAATGTTTGAGTTATGCAAATAGTTTTAAATGTTTTGTTTGAAATGCCTGATCATTATTTCTGTAGATGCTTTTAAATTCTGTTCAATCCATCCAAAGCCCTTTTTGTTCATTGCTCAAGAATCTCTCAAAGTTTTTGTTCTGTTCTGTTTTATTTTATTTATTTTTTATTTTATTTGAATTTTTTTTTTTTTTTTTTTTTTTTACACATTAGATCAAATAAATATGCAAATGATAAAATCTTACATCAGCAACAAACAGGATGGGGAATTTGTTAAAATAACCACGAATGTTGAAAATTTTATTGAAAGGAAAAAAAAAACTAAGGCATCAAAATTGTTCACTTTCATTATATAATTTTAATAGAATTCTTAATATTTTATTATTTTATATAATATAGAAGTTATAATATAGAAAAATATCTGAACCCATCTTTAAAATTTGTCACAGCTATTCACATTTTTATATTTCTTCTATTTGCTATAGTGATGAAAATATGAAATTCTAGCCTTTTCAGATTTGACTAAATCTTGTCTGTCTAAAAAAAATTTTTAGAAAGAAAAACTATTTTAATTTTAACTCTTTACGATGTAAGTTGATTTGCGTGCATTATTCTAAATAGAAAATTTAATGCTAGAACATAGCTATTAACAAAGCCACACGATGGTGTGATTTCCTTTCCAGAGATTGGTGGACAGTGCTAATGACCGGCAGCCTGCTGCTTCACTTAGGTTTCAGCTGCGGCAAAGAACTCAAAGGCAGAAACGACAGAAAGCAATTGGTCGAAGAAGCAGAGGAGGAGCGGGTCCTGTTAGACAAGCTGCTATGGCAGCTCAGGCCAAATTAATGGCTGTAAATTCTGATCTCACTTTGGATGAAGATGAAGAATTCATGAGGTGCAAAAGCATCAAATTAGCGAGAATTGGTTGTACCAGTGTTCCTGGCACAAATATGAAGTCCTCAACACTTTCATCTGCTGATTTCCATGGAAATGATCCTATGTGTTTGAATGTAAAGTCTAAAGCTTGTGATGAAAATGAACAGCAACAGCCATCAATGAAGGAAGTCAAAATTGCACGTCCAATTTATGTTGTCAGGCCTGCACCTGTGCCACCACCTCCAGACTTTGTTATTATAGGAATGACTGAAAAACACATTTTGCATGAAGACCACTGGAAGAAAATCTTTTCATTTTTGGAACCAACAGACTTGGTTCGTTGTATGCGCGTCTGCAAAACTTGGAACCGTTGGTGTATTAGCCCATCACTTTGGACAAAAATAAACTTGTCTTTCAGGTCAATTGGAAAAAAACACTTGATTGGTGCAGTATGTCGACAACCAAGTCATCTAGACTTAACTTCATCATATTACTCATACAGAAAACTCAAGTGGCTCCTTGCAAGACTACCACAATTGAAAGAACTGGTTGTGATAAATAATTGTTGGGCAACTTTGTCAGCTCTCTGTACTTCATCCTGTCCATTGTTACAATCACTTGATATCAGCTGGGCCTCAGGAATACACGAAAAATGTTTCAGAGATATGATTTTACCTCCAGCTGATAGAAAACCTGGGATGAAAGATATCAGTCGCTTAAGTAAATTGAAGACTCTGGTAACCTGTGGTACTGAAATTACTGATAACGTAATGAACTTTCTGAAAGAGCATGTACCTCTGTTGGAGAACTTGAACTTGACTCTTTGCATGAAAATCACTGACCAGGCTGTTGCCAATTTGGCTAGCAGTACATCATTTCGCCAGAAATTAAAGAAATTAAATTTTAGTGGGTGTCGAGAAATAACCAATGACTGTTTACAATACTTACTAAACTTTGAAAGTTTAGTATACTTGAACTTCAAACTATGTTCCAAAGTTACATGTAGTGCACTTGAAAAATTTGCCTCGGCATATACTTATCAAAAACTAAAACTTACTCAAGAGAAATTGTTAACCAGTACCGTTCTCTGATGGATTTTATTTTACAAGACTTGTGTGCATTTACACATGTTAAAGGAAATAATTCAGTGGATATCTTTTGTGTGAAACATGAACTGATATTCACTATCATTGACCCATTGAGAAAAATCATTTTTGCACACCCACTTTTAAAAAACCCCCCAAAAAACAACAAACTCTGAAAAGCTATTTTTCTACATTTGTAGAATAAACTTTTTCTTTATATCCATTGTGTTCTCAGACATTTTGAAACTTTGTTTAGCAATTTGACTTTGAAAAGTTCTTGAGCAATGTTGATTATTGAACTTTAAAAAAAAAAGCATCAGAAACATACATTGCAGAAACTTTTTCTTTGATGCAAATGTTTTTCTTTTTTCTTTTTTTCCTGCACCATATTAGCCTGTTATAAATGAGCCATTCAAAAAACAAACTGATGAAGCTGAAGATAAATTACAAAATTTCTGAAAGTTTTACTGAGATGCAATATCTTAGACTATGCACATATTCAAGAAATGTATCTACTACCTCAACTGTAGATAAAATTGAGATTACTTATTTTACTTGTATATTCTCCTATCCCATTTCTTGAATATCTAACCAATTCAAAAGCAAAAATTTTGAATTGGCTGTAAATGTTTTTTGTTTTGTTTGTTTTTTTGTTTTTTTTTAATTTATTAGGGAAAAAATTGCTTTAAAACTTCAAAATGTGCTAAATACATTCTAGTTTTGAATTACCCTAAACTTACATGAAAGTGTCTTCCGTTTATATTTGAAGAGTCACAAAACTTGCTAGTATGTTTCTTAGAGATCCTGCTTGTAATTTGAATTTGGAAAAAAAATTTTGGAAGTAACAAAATACTTCAGACAAATGTGTCATTACAAAAAGAATTATGAATTTGTTTAAACTCATCTAATCTTTTATGTTGGTTGGCAAGTACTTTGAAACTGTACATTAGATCAAATATGCAATCAAAATATGCAAATGATAAAATCTTACATCAGCAACAGTTTGTACAGTGGGGAAAAAAACTAATATACAATTACAGAAACTCTTGTAATTGTACTTTTATTTTTGCATTCATCCAAAAAGATTACGGAAGTGTTGCAAAGAGTTTGTGGTGATGACCTTTGCATATAAAACTTATGCCACTTGTCCAGTTGGCAAAACGTTTATGGTCAATTTATGCATTATTTTTCCTTCATATTCATTTAAGTATAAGATGAACATTATTAAAGAAACTATAATCAGGATAATTTTTAAGTCAAATTTTTTTTTTTTTAAATAACTTACACTAGCTAAATATTTTACTATAAAAATTTTCTTGATTCAGAAAAGATGGCAATATATGCTTACTGCATTTATTTCACTATTTTGGTTGAAAATTTTAAAGGATTTTCTGATAAAGAAATTGGTAGATTTAGATTATTGGAATATTTTTCCATGAGAAAAGTGTTTTACAGTATTAATGTATGAAATTCTTTAAATACCTTATCAGTCTCAGATATTAAGGTATTTAAGTGACAAAGTGTGTCCATTTGATTTGAAATTTTTCCTTTTTCTTTGAAATTCACATTTGCCCGAAATTAAACCTTTATCTTGTCATTTCATAAGTTGTATTACAAAAATGTCAAGCCTTTTACTCTTAAAAATAAAAAAAACATGATGAGTTTCCATTGAGCTTTATTTTCATTTAATTTTAATCATAATCATTTTGTTTAAGAAACAATTTCAAAATTGGTATTTGTTTCATTAAACAAAATTAAACCTTTTTGCAAGAAACCAAAAATTATTTTGAATTGATGCAGAATTTTTAGATTTAAGAAAGGAAGAAAATGATGTTGGCTTAAAAATATACATAGCCTAATATACCCTTATCTGATAGGTGTATATGAGACATGTACATCTATAACCAATGCACAATATGTTGACAGCTTTTGATAAAAGCTGCACATAAACATACTGGTGGCTCCCATTATCAAATTTGCTTAAATGGTCTCAGATTGAGGATGTTTTTTAAGTATCTAGCTCCCAAGCCACCTTGGCTGCCTCAAACTTAATCCAATCAATCATTACTGTTTATAAACAGATAAACACTCTCAGTTGTTAGCGGAACATACCCAACTATTTAGGCAATCTTTTTTTTACTTAATGGTACTAAGATGTGTTAATTCACCAAGGCAACTTGTAAATATTAACACCTTTAAGATCAGAAGCTGTGTTTTGTGTAGCATAAGGGTAATTATTTTTATTAGTATTATTACTTTTACTGGTGAAATTTTGATTTAACAATGTTAATCTTCTATTCCCAATTCTCAAAAGAACAATTAGTTGATCTATAACTTAAGACCTCTGCTATATTTGATGACAATATTAATGTATATGTGGTTGGTAGCCCATTGAAGAAAAAAAACTTTCAAAACAGTAATTTTGGATACAATCCCAGTGTTGGGTGGTGCAGCTCCATAACAAGTGTAAACAGGTGGAGTAATAACTGTGCAGTATTAAATAAGAGCTAGATGATGTAACCCTGGGTATGGATAGCAGTGATCTAACCCTGTAGATTAAATAAAGGGTGCAGGTTGGAATTCTCTGAAGAGTTATCTGGATCTCACAGGCATGTCATCGAAGGCCCTTTAAGTTTGGTTACATGTGGGTCAAATTATTCAGCAGTTATTCTGTACTGCACAGAGTTTAGACAAAACACCATCTTAACATCTTGTAGGTGGTCGTTATCAACATGTCTCTTCTGACTGTGTAGGCAGAGGGTGCTTCAGAGAGTCTGTCTTGTTCTGGGTAACTCTAAATCCCCCCCTTTCTCTTTCATTTTATTGCAAGGCAGTTTCTTTCCTTTAAGTAATTTCTCTTAATTCCAATAATATTTCTTCTGGTGAAGCATCAGATAAGATACCTCAAAATTTCTATTTTTAATTGAGGCAATACTTTTGTATCTGACTTTTTTGATTAATAAAAGATATTTCCTGTTTTAAAAATACTTTTTAGTTGGTGTGGCACTAAAAATCTTTTCACATTTTCGGGGTCAATATAGCCACAATATAATTAATACCATGAATAATACTATCCATTTGAAGGGTAAATTATAGTCCCTTCAGAGTTAAATTCCTGAAATCCTGTTCCCAGAATCACATTATCACTGGGTATATTTCTATGCACGTCTCTAAAATTAATTAAGTGCCATAATTTGGTTAATGTTAAAAGAACATATATTAGAGATGAAGTCTTATTTTACTTGGACTTAGTGATTGATACTGAATTCTTATGGAATTAACTATCTTGATAAATTCTGTTTTTTGAGATATCTGTCCAAAGGTGATATTTCCTTTAGTAACAGATTTAATGCTAAGAATTTAATTAAAAGAAATTTTTGTGTTTCTGTTACAACAGATAAACATTATCTGATCACAGTTTGTCCGATACCAATAAGTTGGTCCTGTCTTGCAGTTTGGACTTTTTTATCATCCCTAAGATGCTCAATAGAATCAAAGTTTTTAGTGAGTTTGAATTATTGTTTTCCCAATTAATAAAACATGTGCCGACTTCTGCTGAGAATGTAAGCCATCTTAAAGTCCATCTAAATGAGATTGCATATGACTTTGTAAATTTGTCTATCGATTCTAGGGCATTCCTTTGGCAGCAGAATCCCTATTGGATGACCAGATTGTTAAGATCTAGGACTGATATTTATATAACCAAACCTGATAAAGGATCTGATTATATAAATAAAATGTCGTCTATATTGGACATCACAAGTAAATTTCAGAAATTAGGTGATACATCATTTGATGACACTGAAAATGGAAGTTAAATTTCAGAGATTGCTTGAATTTCATAAAATAAAAAACATTTTCCTCACAAAGAAGGTATGATAGAATTCAACCTATTTGCTCCCTAGGATATATGATTTGCTGAACATTCTTAAAATGAATATTCTACTTTGGCCTATTTTGTCTATGGTGGACTCTGCCTAGCATGAGTTGGCTAAACGGTTGGTTGAAGTTCTTGATCCTGTTTTACAGTATTATTCTGTTCTAGTCTTGTTCAGTTTGCATCCTATATACGTAAACTGCAACACTGTTGACAGTTTATCGTGTTTTGATATTTGTAGTCTGTTCACAAATGTCCCTCTGGACAAGACTGGACATTTGTGTTGAAAATTTGTATTGTGGCTCCTTGAAGCCTTTGAACTGATGGGGGTGGCTACTAAACCTGTCTCTTTCAACTTTGACATTTACCAACAGATTGATGGGGTAGCAATGGATAGTCCTTTGGCACATCTCATAGCCAATATTTTTGTAGGGTTTCATGAGAAGCAGTTGTTTGATAAGTTTGGTAAACTGTACTGCTATGCTATTTCCATTATGTTGATTATACTTTTACATCATTTTCATCACATAACAAGGCAAACAGGTTTTTCAATATCTAAATCATCTCCACCACTCTTACAATTTCCTCTGGAGGTGGAGAATAATAATGTTACCTTTTTTGGACATGCTGCTTAAAAGAACTTCTTTTCTCACCAGTGTTTATAGGAAGTCCACTTTTACTGGGCTGTATCTCGGCAGGGTCTCTCTTGCTCCTAAGTCTAGGAAAATCAACCTTGTCAAAACACTTGCTATGTCTGGAGTGCAAACTTGATGCCAAACTCAAGGAAATTACTAATATCTTTCTTGTCAATGACTATCCGTAAAGTATCATCAAAAACATTAGACTTAAAATTTCTAAGTTTAATGAAATTAAAAGATTTGATTTACCTAAGTGTCCTGTCTACATGAGATTACATTGGATTGACTTGTATAGTCAATCATGTGCTGATAAAAATATCCTCAAATATCACGCACTGCTTCTATTCTGTAGTAGTATAGAACATCTTTGCTACTAGGAGTGCTTTCCCATAGGTATGTAAGGATGTCTTGGCCACCAATCAATAAAGTTCTTTTATTTATCATTTTAAGTGTCTGTGTAGTTAAGACTATCCAACGGCCGGGGGTACAGATTGCACTACACGTGCCTGGCTCTATGTATACATAGGCATGCTCCATTAGCATCCAGACACAGACAGTCTGTCATTGAGGAGCATTTATTGAGTTCTGTCACTTTTGGGTCCAATTATTCAGTGAAGTTCTTCTTTTTGCCGCACGGGGCTCGGATGAAACAACATCTTAACATTTTGGAAGTGGTTGTTATTAATACGCCGTATCCAACTCTGTGTAGGCAGAGGGAGCTGAAATATAAACTGACACTCTTCAGCAAATCTTTGTCTTGTTCTGGGCAACTTTTAAATTATTCGGATGGTATGCTCTGGCCTTCTTCAGGTGGTTGGAATGTCGAACTGAACTCTTATTTCGCTCACACTTGGAGAGGGGAATTAACAGTCTACCCCAGTGAGCGAAATAAAGGGTTCAGTTCGACATTCCAACCACCTGAAGAAGGTCAGAGCGTACAACGGCCAGAATGTGGTAATAAATGTGGCGACAAAAATGAGGACAATAGTCCGAATAATGTAAATAGTGTACATAATACCTCATCTCAGAAATATAGACAGATACTGAAGGGCCAAAATGTTGTAATAAATATGAGGACAATAGTCCAAATAATGTAAATAGTGTACATAATACCTCATCTCAGAAATATACACAGAAACATTAAAAAAATTTTTGCCATCTTTCCTCTCCCCCTTTGTTTCTCTTATTCTATTGTAAGGAGGTTTTTCCTTTCAGTAATTTCTCTTAATTGCGACAATGTTTTCTTGTTTTTTTGTTTTTTTTTTAGATTCTAAATGAGACAATACTTTTGTGTCTGACTTTTTGATTAATAAAAATGTTCCCCCATTTTAAGAATACCATTTTGTTGGTGTGGTGCTAAAAATCTTATATATATATATATATATATATATATATAAAGAAATATAGTCTTAAGGTGTGCTATATTTATGGGATAAAAGTGCTCAATATCAGAGATAGAGTGTGTAAATATAAAGTGAACATAGAAGTCAACACTTGGCGACAGTCTGTTTTGCATACAGCATGAAACAGAGGCCACGTGGCCTGACGATTGCTATGAAACACTATATATATATATATATATATATATATATATATATATATATATATATATATATATATATATATATATGCAACAAAAATAGCATCCCAAAATATAAATGCAGGCACTTTTTCTGTAGGCTACAATATGGAAAGCTGGATGAGTTTACCATTCTGCACATGCTACATAATGAGACACCATCACATATTTAAACTTCTATATCACCCCACCTGTATAGTATATACATTAACATAATAACAGTAAAAAGTATGTGCATATATTTCAATTACTTACAAGTACTGTACTATAACTTGGATGTGCAGATTTTAAGCTAGTTCAAAATAACTTTAAAAACTGCATTACACTTTGAAAGACCAAATTTTGAAAAATTATTTATCTATTTTCTAATTGTATTCAAAGATGGAATATTTGTTAGAATTGGTTGAGTATATATTATAATGTATTCTGAAAGTTGAATTTTCTCTTAAATTTGTTAAAATGTTTGAAATTTTTAATTTTAAAACTTACAATAGATTATAAAGATCAAATTAGGATACCTGCTTTAATAATTTTCTTAAACTTCTAATATTAATCATTATCTTTACTATTTCGACCCACATGTTCATCTTCTTCTACTTATGAGTATTAAATGCTCATGTTAAGATAATTCCTTGTCACATAAATTCCAATGGAACTAGGCAAAGTAAAGTAAAATAAGAGTATTAATTTTAAAATTGGTAAATTATATAACTGCACTATTACAGCATGACAGGCCTGTGGTATGAATCTGAGTAGTAAGTGAGTTTTATGAAGATAGGTAACACATGACGCTTAATTTGACAAGTTTTAGAGTAGTATTTGAGGAAGCATCAGTCTAGGAGTCTTCCACAAGGTAAATGTTCTTGAAAGCTGAGTGGAACTTCTTCCTTACATTTGGAATACAAGTGAATGAGTCACTTGACTATATGTATATGATTTGAACTGAAAAAGCTAGAGCAAGTACAATTTATTAATGCAAATACTTGTGGATATTTATAAATACTCTTTATTCACCTCATCCCTGGACTTTGGTATATTAAATGTTATATACTTTCTAAGCTCATTTTAGTCTGACATTGGTAAAATTTGAGGTTGGAATATTTTTCTGCCAGTCCTTTTAAATAGGTAGGACATAAATTTATTTGATATCTATGCACCCACCCTATGTAATGAAATATATAAATGAAGGACAACTCTAGTCAGCCGAAGATTGCGAGTGTGTGAAACTTTAGTGATATGAGCTATCCCTAGTTGGTGTAATGAAAGTTTTCTTGCTCTGTTTAGATAGTTTAAGCACTTTATTTACTAAGTGGATGTTTGCCTTTTGGTCTTCTATTTTTTATTCCTTTTGTCTAAAGTATTAGGTCATCTGGCAAGTTATATTGGTTACACAAACACACACACAAACTTAATTTCATGAGATTTATTTTTGTACAGCTTAATGTTTATATTAGTTTTATGCAGGAATCTTTGGACAATTTAAATTGCATTTTTCTAAAACAGGACCCCCAGTTACCAAAAATCTGAATTATAAAATTAAAAAAAAAAAAAAATGCAATAAAACTAAGATGGTAATGCTTTTAATTGCTTTCATGAATAAGATATTAATTTGTAGTGGTTAAGGGTTATTGTTAAGTAAAATATATATTAACTAATCATAATAGAAAAGCTTACTACAATTCGATGACACCCATTATTTTAAAAACAATTCTTTTTTTTCTTTGAGAAAATAAGAGCAATAACTATAGCAAATTCAACAAAACAGATT